GTTCCTGCATGGCAGGGGGTTGGACTGGATGGCCTTTGTGGTCCCTTCTGACTCTATGATTCTATGATCCCTCTTTGAGGAGGGAGTTCCAACGTCTGGGAGCAGCCACCAAGGCGGCCCTCTCCCTTGTTCCCACCAAATGAGACTGAGAATGTGGTGGGACAAAGAGAAGGGTCTCTCCCGATGATCTTAGAGTTCATAAAGGGTGATACGGTCCTTCAACCAGTCTGGATCCAAGCCATATTGGGCTTTATCCAAGTGCATCTCCAGCACTTTGAATTGTGCCTGGAAACAGGCAGGCAGCCAGTAGAGCTGTTGCAACAAGGGAGTTGTGTGCTCCCTGTCACCAGTCCCAGTTAACAGCTCTTTGGATCAGATGAAGTTTCTGAGCACTTTTCAAAAGCAGACTCACGTGGAACATGTCGCAGTAATCCAAACATGATGTAACCAAAGCCATGTTTCCACCATGGCCAGAGCTGACTTCAGCTCCCACTAACTCCAGCTGTGGGAAGGGGTTCCTCATCCTGTTGTATAAATTGAAATGATAGTTAAGTCACCAAGCCATAAACTACACATTTATGGTTTCATTCATTCATACTTTCTCCCTGCCTTTCCTGCTCAGATGTCATTCTCCCCCTGAGCAAACATCTGTGTAATAGTGACCTCTTTTATTAGCTTACTCACTTGTCCCAAGGAGAATTTCTTTTTCTTCCAGGAAATACTCATCTGACAGCTGTGTCAACTGTCCCTAGCACAGAAAGTACTTCTTTTAGGAAGGAGGAATAGTTGTTACCCCAGCCCAAGTAAAAGCTACTAATTCAGATGCTGATGCTCAAGTTCAGAATATATCATGTAAATCCTATTTTGAATAAGTGTCCTAGTTGCATGGCTTATACTGAACCTCATGTTTAGCAGGAGTAAGGGTTGATGCAGGGGCAAGGCAACCAGATGTCTTAACCACAAAAGAGCACAAGGCACCGCAAAATGTAGGACGTTCAAGAAAAATTTAGGACATGACCAAATAAAAGCAAAAAACCCTCATATGAATGTAAATGCATGCTTATTAGTGACTCATTCATATGAGGGTTTTTTGCTTTCATTTGGTCATGTCGTACATTTTTCTTGAATGTCCTACCATTATGAAATTCCTCCTGGGCAGAAGGTTGAAATGTAGGATGTGTCCTGGAAAAGGAGGACATCTGGTCACCCTGTGCAGGAGTGAAGCCATCCAAGCCTACCGATGTCACCGCTGCCTTGTTCTGTCTAGCATCTTGTCTAAGATAAAGATGTTTTCCCACTGCATGTGCCTTATCTCTCCTAGAGTAACTTGAACTTAAGTTTCTTTTAGGAGCTAAAGTTTATTTGGAAAACCCAATAGAGGTTTGGCTCATTCCAGGAGGCCAATAGTGGGAGGAGGAAATGGAGATAAAATCATTTTGGTCAATGCATATGGTCAATGCAAATTCTGTTTTCTTGGAGTGAAATAGTTGACTTGGCCAGTTTTAGAAAACTTGTTCTTTGTACTTTTCCCTTCTTAAACCGGGGTGAGAGCAGGGACATGCAGGTGTCGAGAAACAGGAGTAACTTCATGGCAGCAAGTGTTTGTTTCTTCATTTCTAGTCCTCTTTCCTGCCTTTTTTTTCCCCAGGATTCTGGGTTAACTCTCCCGGATCTTGTGGCTGCTTAGGTCAGGAATTCCACCTTCAAACATCTTGCTTACTTTGGGGAGAATGGCTGCAGCAAGTGCCATGGGTCTTAAATGTAATCGTATTACACCACAGGTTAAGTAAACACAAGCGAGAGGGATAAAACAGTTAAGAAAATGGAGAATTACACTGGCGCACACTTGTTAGCATTCCAGAGTAGTATAATCTCTCAACTCAAATTTATAGTCCATTGAGACATGCCCTCTTCTCCAAATCTTGTTATATAATCCAATAATAATCTTTCTGAATACAAGGATGATTCTTGACCAATGCCATGTTAACAGTTAATCGGCAATTAAAAGTTGCCTTCAGCCAAGAAAATGGCCAAAAGCCTGCATCATCAGACATAACTATAGTTTTGTTGTTGTTGTGTACTTTTAAGTGGTTTCTGACTTACGGTGACCTAAGACGAACTTATCAAGGGGTCTTCTTGGCAAGATTTGTTCAGAGGAGGCTTGCCATGGTCTTCTCCTGAGGCTGAGAGCATGTGACTTGCCCAAGGTCATACAGTGGGTTTCATAGCCATGCAGGGAATCAAACCCTAGTCTCCAAAGCAGTAGTCCAGCACTCAAACCATTATGCCACACTGGCTCTGCAGTTCGGTTACTGTAGCTATATCTGACAATTTCTTGCTGCGTGACCTCAAGTTATTTCCAACTTATCGTGACCCTTAGGTGAACCTATCATGTGGTTTTCTGTGGCTGAGAGTGTGTGACTTACCCAAAGTCACCCAGTGGGTTTAAATGTCTGAGCAGAGAATTGAACCCTGGTCTCCAGAGTTGTAGTACAACTCTCAAACTACTACACCACACTGGCTCTCATATCTAACAATGCAATCCCACCCCAAAACCTACCTTTTCAGCCCGGCAATGCCTCAAGGTTTTCCAAAATGCTGCAGATCGAGGCATTGGGAAACAATGTCTGCAGTTCTTTCCTAATTTCAGGGTGCATTGAGAACAAGCAGATGGAGGGACACCTGAGGGTCCTGCCACAACTGCTTATCTCAACACTCCCCATGATCTTGCAGATGTTATTTTCCAACATCTTCCCTCTCCTCTTCACAGTGAGTAAGCCAAGCCCTGCCAGATCCATGTCCTTGGAGGAGCAGCCACTCAGTCAACCCCAGCACTGACCACCCCACACTTTGGCCCATTGAGAAGCATGCAGGAAAAACGAAGCACTGAAGGACATGGCTTTCAGGATTTTTCCAGCTTTGCCTCTGCTGATAGTTGTTGTCGTTAACTGCCTTCAAGTCAACCTCGACCCATGGCGACCCTATGGATGAGACATCTCTAAGACATGTGCTTTATAAACTATAGCAAAACATTTGATTTCATTGATCGTGATTTCATTGATCGTTAAAAGTTATGGACCGCTCTCAGGGACATGGGAATGCCAATACACTTGACAGTTCTGTTGAGAAATCTATATTGAGCAGTTCCACAGTGTCCATATTCAGCAAGGAGCTACTATTACGTTACTACGTACCTACATAGGGAAACCAGTCAATTGACCGTGTGCATCAATGCATATTGAAACTGATGCTCAATGGGACACCAACTAGGTAGTGCTGATGTGAGATTGATGGTAGTTTCCTGCTATGGATCTTTGCAGCTTCGAAATTCATTAACAGGGTTTCTTAGCCCCTCTGTTCTCCAGTTAGGCATATGTAAAGTTATGTAATGGAGACTGCAATGGAGAATTCCAGCAACTTTTTGTAAGCCGCTTTGATCATATTCATGGAAAGGCGGGGTAAAAATAAAATTTATTATTATTATTATTATATATTCAGGTTGAGGGCTATGCCTGAGGCTCTGCTGAAAGAAAGCTCATTTCTGGAGCCTAATACTGAAAATCTGTGCTGATCCCATTTGGGAATATGGCCACTGAGCAGAAACAGATTCACTGACTGGCAGACCAAGTTTAAACAGCTAGAAGGTACTGAAGGAAACTAGTTTCTTGGGAATCATTGGACATATTATTGGCTGAGCCATATGGCTATAAAATGAGAAAACTTAGATTCAGATTTGGCAGACCTTGCTAATCCAAGAGTCTTAGGGGGGTTGCAGACTGCCAGAAATAGTGCAAATTGAG